CTCGGAGTCTGAACCCTGCCCCGGGTCCTCCACATCATCCAGAGCCGACTCATAGGGTCCCTCGCTATCGGAGTCTGTTGGCACTCCAACGGCTCCTGCTGTTCCCTAACCAAGAAGGGATCTAAACATGGCACAGGCAGCACTCAAAAGAATAAGAATAACAAAATATAGAAATATAGAAATACAGTAAGCACAAGTTAATCATTATGGTATAGTGGTTAAGACTCCAGGCTAGAAACCAAGAGATAATGAGTTTGGTCTAGAAACCTTTCTGTCTTACAAGGAAAGACTGGCGTATCTTTATATTTTTAATTTAGAAAAAAAATCATACTAAAGAAGAAATTTATTTTTTTTAATTTACAGCATTTTAAATTCTTGCCTAACTACCCATCTTAATATCAGACCTCTGGGTGACTCACAAACATAACACAGGTAGTCCTCAACTTACAACCACAATTGAACCCAAAATTTCTGTTGCTAAGCGAGACACTTGCTAAGTATATTTTGGCCCTTTGTACGATCTTTCTTGCCACAATTGTTAAGTGAATCATTGCAGTTGTCATGTTAATAACATAGTTGTTAAGTGAATCTGGCTCCCCCATTGACTTTGCTTGTCAGAAAGCCACAACAGGTGATCACATGACCCCAGGATACTACAATCATCGTAAATATGAATCAGTTGTCTAAATGTCTGAATTTTCATTATGTGATCATAGGGATGCTGCGATGGTCGTAAGTGTGAAAAATGGTTATAAGGAACTTTTTTCAGTGTAATTTCAAACAGTCACTAAATGAAATGTTGCAAGTTGAGGACTATCTGTAGAAAAACAATATAATGAATATCATGAATAGTTGTTTTTGTTACCTGTCTCTTTCTCTTTCCCATATATTAAAAATAATGGTTGATGCTAGTCTAACTTCTGAATTAAACAAGGTACAAATTGTGATTGGCCATGGAAGCTGATTGATTCAAAACAAACAAGAGAAATAGCTATTTTTCATACACTGTATTTTATATATGTGTATAAAATTTGCTGTCACAGATTATTTCAGTGGTCCCTAAACTAGGAACTAAAGGAGAATCTTTTAGGAACAGAACAACTGCATATTATCTTCAACACTTTGTGACCAGCCAGAGGCATCTGAGAACCCAGAAGGACAAGATAGCAATAGGACTTTTCCATTGTTGTTTCCTAGCAAGTGGTGAGAAAGTGAGCATAGTTTTTTTACAATCATTATTCTGAAGGCAGTGTACCTTTCAGAAGTCCAGGAGCCATAAATAGCCCTTCACAAATTTGTCTTCAATGCTTTTAACCATGTCTAAACTGATCTCCATCACAGCATCTAAAGCAGCAAGAGAAATGAATACATTTTTCAAAGAATTTTCTGAAAGAAATGGATGATTGACTGTAGCTGACACAGTCATAAGGATGTAATAGAATGAGAAAAACATGAACCTTGCCTTGATCTTCTAAGAGAAGGTACAAGGTGTAAATATATGTAAATAATGAAATATATAGAATGTAGCATAGAGAAATCCCTTACCAGGTGCACTTAAGCTTAACACTCAAAATAGGGGTTGTCAAATTTGATTTTTTTCTTAATCATCTCATTATTTTTGCCTGTTCCCTCAGTTTGAGAATTCAGAAAAAAGCTATGTATAAAATTAAAAGTGTGATTGAGGTTCTCCTGAGAAATAATAATGACTTCTTTGCTGGATATCAATCCCTATACAAATCTACCTTCCTTCAATTGGAATTATAGATTACAATACCCTGCTTTAACTTGCTGTCTAGGTGTAGATGTAGTATGCTATAACTTCCATTTACTCCAATCCGCATTGCCAAAATCCCTGGAAACCATAGTTTAAAAAAAAAACATTTTCCCCAGTGTACTTAATTTCTACAAACAATAGTTCCACTGATGCAGTGTTTACAGATGTACTTTGTCTGAGTATCTAACTGTAGAGGAAACCCCTGGCCTCTTATATCAATTTTAGACCACAGTAAGATCATGCAGTCATAGTAGCTGCTGTCTGTCAATAGAACAGGAGTTCTGCCTCCCCCGCAATAAGTGAGTATTTCTTTTATGTTTGCTGAAAAATAATAATTAATATTTCAAATAGATACTTCACTAGAATAAAAAATCACAAACATCAGGAGGAAAAGGAATAACAACAAAGACAACCAAAAGGCAATGTTTATTTTTTTATTGCATAATGATCTTTGGATTTTTAAACTGGTTATCTAGCTAAAAATATGGCCACAAGGCATTATGGTTATAATATATATGAATTATTGTATACAGATCTGAAACAGAAAATATTTCCTCTTTCCTAAATTATTTTTGCTTTATGTTTGCAGGTCTGGGTAGATGCTGGAACACAGATATTTTTCTCCTATGCTATCTGCCTGGGATGCTTGACAGCCCTAGGAAGCTACAATAACTACAATAATAACTGTTATAGGTAATGTACAATTGGGTCATTCTATTTATAAATTTAGGTGTATAATTAAGGTAATTATTTGGAGATTGTACACATAACTAGTTAAAACACTTAAACACTTACTGTACATGTGTACACACTGCATACACTAATAAACACTATGCATTATTTAAATGGTCTGGACACTGTTTCATTGGTGAGATACATGTTGATCTCCAAGACAAAATCCTATCTTGGATTTAATGTGTTAATAATTAAAGTTAAATCGGTATTTCTTCAGCCCATATCTCATCCCTTTTCTGGAAGTAAAACATCAACTTTTCAATCCTGGTGTCAGCACAAAATCCATAAAAAGTTGCCAGAGCATTGCAAAAACAAAAAGTCTGGATCAAATAAACCAACTTTATTGTCCTTCCTTTTATATCTAACAACCTTTAATTCAATTAATATTGAAGTTGGTTTTTATTTCTCTTTGATTCTTCTATATCCCATCACATAGCCCCCACTCCCCTTTCACAGCCCCTTCAAGGCTTTAACAGATTTCCATTGTAATACATAAAACATTTTCTAGGTTATTGCTTATCATTTGCATTTCCCTTTATTTTTTTATTCCCTTTTATTTTTTTAATTTTAATCATTTCTTTCATAAATCCAGTAAAACATCCTTTTCTGTATCATACTCTACATTCTGTATTTTGTCTGTCTTGTCAAGTAAAAATACTGAATCTTTGTCAACTTATTTCAGATAAATCCTTGTGGAATATAAATCTTCAAAGTACATTTAAAACTGACAAACCTGTCAATCTTTAAGGTGCCACAAGATTTTATATTTCTTAACACAATCTTCCCTCTTTTCAAACTGATTGACAACCATGAATTCAAATATTGTAAACATTTACCTACACAAAAGGATATCATATTCTGAAGAAAGTAGAAAACAGAGATTATTTATTTATTAGGTACAAAAATCACAAGTTATTTGAATATTAAATTGTACACTTAGCTTAACATAATGCTACATTTCTGAATGCTCTGGTTATGCATTTCTCCTGAAAGCCTTGCAGGAAGAATTTTAATGTGAATGTTACTGTGTATATGCAACAAAATGTAGTCAATCATACAATATTGAAAGCCACGTGAGACAGTTTGTAGAAGTTTTCTTTTCACATTCTGAGAAGACATTGAATTTTACAAAATATATCCAAACGGAAAATAATATTAACAAAGGCTACCAATGAACACCAAATAATTTAGTGGTACATTTTGGGCACATTAAAATTCTTATCAAATCTCTGATGATATCTCTGAGATCTAGTAAAGTAGAATTTAGTGATACTAAGTGTGACAAAAATGTACTATAATACCTTTGACTCCATCAATGTACCAGAAGTACAGCCAATAAGCTATGTGGAAAACTTCTGGAAGTTCCTGGTTTTCTCTTTCTGAATTTTTTCCAAAACTGTGGTATAAAGTCAAGCACTTAAAATTAAACAATGATTTTGCTCTTTATTTGATAGAGACTGCATTATGCTCTGTTGCCTGAACAGTGGTACAAGCTTTGTGGCTGGTTTTGCCATCTTTTCTGTTCTTGGCTTTATGGCTTTTGAACAGGGGGTTCCAATAGCAGAAGTTGCAGAATCAGGTAAGTTATACAAATATATTTGATGGTCTACTTGAATATGGGATTTCAAGATAAATTAATTGTGCAGGAAAGAAGTTGGACATTTTCTTTTCTTTTCAAAGAGATATGATCCATCCCATGCCATCAATTATATACATATAGGGAATATTCATAATGTGATCAATATATGAACAAGTCCTCATTGATATATCTAATTCCTGTTTATTTCACTTTCAGGGCCTGGACTTGCTTTCATTGCATATCCAAAGGCGGTAACAATGATGCCTCTTTCTCCATTGTGGGCAACTTTGTTTTTCATGATGCTTATATTCCTTGGATTAGATAGTCAGGTACAAATTACAGTTATTGTAAAACTATTATAAACATTGCAAACTAATTTCTGAAGTCCATAAAATATAGAATTGTTACATACTGTAGTAAGAGTTGTTCTTTACCAGTATAAACATGATTTGTTAATATATCCAAACAGGTGTTATTTATGAAATAATAGAAAATGGAGAGGCAAATGTATAATAACACAAATTGAAAATAACGGGCCTCAATCACAGGCTAAACTTTAGAAGTTTAAAAGGCTAACAACCAAGAATTTGACAGAGAAAAGGCAATGAAGCCAGCTTTCCCATTGGAGCCATGGGTTAATTGGAAAATAGCAGTTCTAAAAGAATGGCAGCGTTTACCAGCCACTAAAATAAAGTCAAGAGATAGACATGTACCTGGTGAAGTCATTGACTTTTAGGACAGTGAACTAAAGAATTTAAAAATGGTGTTTAATCAGATGAGCCATGATGACGCAGTGGTTAGAGTGCAGTACTGCAGACTACTTCTGCTGTCTGCCGACTGCCTGCAATTTGGCAGTTCAAATCTCACTAGGCTCAAGGTTGACTCAGCCTTCCATCCTCCGGAGGTGGGTAAAATGAGGCTCCAGATTTTTGGGGGCAATAGGCTGACTCTGTAAACTGCTAAGAGAGCGTTGTAAAGCAGTATATGTCTAAATGCTATTGCTCTTGCTATTGAAGGATTAGATTCCAAGAACATATAATTGGCACTGTTGAGTTTGAAATGGGAATAAAAAAAATGGAGCACTTTCCTCAGCCCAGAATATCTCTTTAAGTGTTGAATAATTTCCCTAGTTATTCATAGCACAGAGTCAAGAAATAATACAGAGTCTAGTGCCTGTATTATTTTGTTCTGAGAAAACTATTAAAATCTGTCCTGTGTCTCTTTTTGAAGAATAATAGGGATGGTCCAATGCCACTAATGCTAATCTAAAAACCAGCAAAATACTTAATCAGAATTACAATTGGCTCACACGCTATGTAGTTTGAATAAAGCTCCCTATAGCATTGGGCTGTAAATGCTACAAAACATTTCATGCACTGATTACTGCTATAGAAATGGGAATGTATTTGTTTGCCTTGTTTCTGTTTTTTATGCAGTTTGTGTGTGTTGAGAGTCTTGTGACAGCAGTGGTGGATATGTACCCCAAGGTTTTCCGGAGGGGATACAGAAGAGAAATGTTGATTCTAGCTCTTTCAATTGTGTCTTACTTTCTTGGTTTAATCATGTTAACAGAGGTAAGAAACGTTTAATAACATTCACAACTGTGAAGTAGGGGGGAAATTTTAGGGTTGGAAATTCTATGAAGCATATTGAATGACTCATATATGATTGGAAACAGAAATATTTATTAAAAACCGGTTTTGGAATAAATTACCAATCATTTAGAAATTTTAAATCTTCTTGTCAAATGTATTTTAGCATCCTATAAAATGGTGATCTTGATTTGAAAAGCCATTTAGGGATTAGGACAAGATTATCCCTTTCAACATGTCCTTCCCATTCACCAGAGTAAATTGAATTTTTGTATGTACAGAATCTCTCCAATCATCACTGATTGATTATGCTTTACTACAAACTGTTGTGAAACTGCTGCCCAGAATCCCTTAGATGAAATGGGTGGGGGAGGGAATGGATGATAGCATACAAATCAAACAAATTGAATTAATAAGAAGAATCATATTAGTAATCAACTATTGAATTGCCATTGACTGTAATTTTTAAATGACAGAGGCAAAAAGTACCATAAACACAGGAATATAAATAGTTATTATATTTCATAACATGAACTTAGTTTTATCCTGAGTTTACCAACTCCTTCATATTGGCTGAATAAGATAGCCATTCTGAGTTCCAGATTGGAATAGGGTAGAATCTGCTTTAATCACTGATGGATGACCTCTGCCAAGATACATGAAATTTGAACCCTCAGTTACCTTTAATATTGTTCATCAAGATAGTGGTATTTCACTTCATTATCTTCACAGAATGAATTAATTGTAAACAATCAGGTTACCTTAAAGAACAATTACATCCTTCCCTATAAAATATATAATCTTAAGGATAGATGCTGGTCTCTGAGATAGGGTTTGTGATACTGCTTACATCTCTGCCATGATTGATATCCCATTTATGGAAACTATCATGAATTGAATAAGGAATTGGATTCAACACACTAAATTATACCTTCCAACATTGATTTTATGCCATTACCAGAAAATATTTATATAAAAGTAAGCTATAGAAATACCTTAAATAAACAAAAGAAGTAATCTTTTTTTTAAAAAATCTCTTAATTGCAGAAGAGATATGTGACTAGTTCAGGTTTTCGGGTGGAGAGGTAGTCTAGAAGATTCTTTCACTGGAAAATATGCATACAATCCGATTGGAAACATGTATTAAGCCCTACTTCACAGAAGAGACCAAAGCCTTACTCACAGTGTTCAGCTCTGTGCGACTGGAAAAGAATACGAGAGTCACACCACTATTGTCACTCTCCATAAAATAGTATTTAGAGGCCTATGTTCATGATTCTGAGAAAAACCCAACATCTATTACTGCAGCTGCTTACCCAACTGTTTTGAATAGACTTCAGCAAAAGGAGAAAATAATTTTTCAAAGCACACTGTTTCTATGCCTTTTGTTTCAAAGAGTATAATCTATGTTGTACATTCTAGAATGTGTGATTTGCAAAGTAGAATCAAGTTGCAATATATATCATGGTCCACCAAATGGCACTGTTGCATCATTTACTGTCACATAAGGTTTTTCATTACAATTTTTTTTCTCAAAAAACCCAAAACATTCAATGAGTTAAATTTAGTAGGACAAATGCACTGCTGTTGAAAAGAACCGCAATATCCACTTTGGTGCTATGTAATTTCTGACGAACATTTTAAACGCTGTGCAAATTTTCTTGTCGATTGAATTTCACTTTAAGCTGTATTGCAGAGTTTAGAGTGAACAGCTAGCATTTTATCAGATGTCTCTTACCTAAGCTTACTGATAAAGGTTAGCTTTTAACTACTCTAAGGTAAATCCTTGCTGTGAGACTAATATTACTACACTAATAGAAGTGTCCCACAATGAAAATAATGCCTTTAAAGGAATAATTTTCCTCTTGACTTGGGCAAAGGAAGAGAATGTTGTATTTTCCTCCTATTCAGTTATAATTTGAAATATTACATGGTATCCTCCAGTGAATGCTATCTGAAAATAATCCTCACATTTAACACTAAAATGTCACAAAACCGCAACCTTCTTATTTTTTAATTTTCTTTTTCAGGGTGGAATGTATGTTTTCCAACTATTTGATTCTTATGCTGCTAGTGGAATGTGCCTTCTTTTTGTTGCTATATTTGAATGTATCTGCATTGGCTGGTTTTATGGTAAGTCGATGATTGATGTTATTGCCTTGAAATTACATAATACTTTTCTGGATAATTTGAATAATGTATTTTTGATGTCAATTATTTATGTCCTGTTTCTCATTAAACAAATATGTCTCAAACATGTTAAATGTACACTAGATATACATAATGATCAGTATCTTTTCCAGGGAGTAGCTGGGGAAATTTTTCTGGCCTTCTGCAGAGAAAGGATCACGCAGGGGCAACAAAACAAAATGTTTAATGTTATCTTTGTTTGCCTCCATCTTTCTGGAATTCTTCCCACAGAAATTATTTCTATAATTTACCTTGTCAGATAATTTACCTTGTCAGTATGTAAGGTAAAGGTAAAGGTTCACCTTGCATATATGTGCTAGTTGTTCCCAAATCTAGGGGGCAGTGCTCATCTCCATTTCAAAGCCAAACAGCCAGCACTGTCCAAAGACATCTCAGTGGTCATGTGGCCGGCATGATTAAACGGTGAAGACACACGGAACGCTGTTACCTTCCCACCAAAGTGGTCCCTATTTTTCTACTTGCATTTTTTACGTGCTTTCGAACTGCTAGGTTGGCAGAAGCTGGGACAAGTAACCGGAGCTCACTCCATTACGTGGCGCTAGGGATTCAAAGATTTATAGATCTTCCCATATTGTTTCCCATATAAACATCCTTGGTTCTAAGGGTTTAGGAGTTAAATACAGACTACATATTTAACTTTGACTCTTTTGTGAATAATTAATTAATTAATTAATTTGATACTTCTATTATTTAATTTATTTATTAAATTTATATGCCACGTATCACTTTATCCAAAGAAACTCCGGATGGCTGTGCAACCCTCTCATTCACTCACACGAACATAGCGATGATTTAGTGGATTTATTAATATTCCCCAGAAATTCCCTTTATCCAAAATCCAGAATAATCTCAATTAAGTCCTGCTAAAAGCAGACCAATGCTAGTCCACAGAGCAATGGCCAATGAGTTCACAAGGCACTTGAAAGTTTCCCAAATGAGATAAACCCACTGGGCAAAGTTAAATACACAATACAAGAGG